TCCGGGAGGCAGTGGAAGACAGGAGGGCTTGGCATGCTCTGGTCCATGGGGTCACAAAGAGCCGGACACAACTTAATGACTAAACAACAACAACATAATATAGAACAATACAAAAGATAGAACTAATCTGTGTACCTTAAGGATTGTTGTTCAGGTAGGGGAACCAACCACAAGTGAATAGCAGACAACTGGAATTAGCAGTTAGAAGAAAATTGGCTATTGTACTTAATTTTAGATTTTGTTCAGATGGTGGGCAACCCAGGGGATAAATTCATCCTAGTAACTGTGAGCACAAATTGTGAAAATATTAGGATCTGAACTGAGGGAGGGATTTTCTGCCTCATTGAATTAATGGTTCTCCAGGGTATTCAGATCAATTGTTGAATCATTGTGGATTCCAGAATTACAAATCTGTGTTCAAAAGAAGTGGATATATTTATGAATAATTTAATGTGACTTTTTCTTCTTCAGTTATGATTAACTGAGGTCAGAAAATGTCTTCCCCCAATGACCAAGGTTTAAGGGCACAACCACACATTCTACTGCTGTCCCTTTGTTGGGAAATTCCAGGTGTCATTTCCCTGGGATACGACATTTGCAGTCACAAGTAAGTAAAAAGTTCTCCTACAAATGTGTACTGCCCTTCTCAGAAGCAACACTGCAAGGGAGTTGGCAAGTGTCTGGGGAAGTTGGACAGGAAAGTATGTCCTCTACTTCGGTCTCCTTCAATGTCCACAGTTATTCCCAGGCAATTTGCTCTCTTTCTAAGGAGATATTTCACTTAATATTGCTCATTTATGTGTATAAAAGAGCACATACATCTAGAATTCAACATTGTACAAACACACAGACATATATAAGTTGTCAGGAGGACAGGACAACTTGGCCTAATCTTCATTCTCTGTTGCCTCAGCTGTACCTGGAACATCACATATCTGTGTTTATTTATCTAGATACAGAAATACAAATATGTGTTTGATCTATATGCTGCCTTTCCCCCCATAGAGGATCTAAAATGGTTTATGACAATTAAAAGTATATCCACAGATTTAAAATGGCATTAAAACTATACTAAAAATTAATATATATCAACCTGATGCCACAATTAAAAACAATTTTAAAAACTGGATATTACTAATAAAAATAGAATATGGCAAGGACAAGCCTTGAATACTGGTGCAAGAATACTTTTTGACCTGTAAAATCCCTTTTGTAATTTCCATTTCCACTTTGCAGCTGGAGATGGTGTTGGAAAACTGGTTTAAATTATACGTTGCTAGTTTTTCATCTCCTCTTAGAAGCTAATAACTATTAGCTTGCTCTTCCTCATTTTTGGTACAGTACATTTTTCCCAACTTGACACCCATAATACTGTACTAAACGCCACCCTAGCCTGTATCACAGCCTTTCAAATACTTCATCTATGGGAGAGATACTGGTTCCTGTTGAGGTACCCTTTCCAGTTTTCATATGCAAATACACCTGTCTCGTTTGTTGATTTGGCTTTGATTGGTCCCATTCCTTGCTATCTGAGTTTTCCTGAAATATGGATTCTCTGCCTTTTTAGAAACAAAAGTATCACTTTTTTCACAATGATATAGGAAAGGAAAAATAGAACATTTGCTGCTTACCATGGAAAACTGATCTACATCAGTGGTTCTTAACCTTTCTTTTGGCCTTCAACTCCCAGAAGCCCCTGCCAACATGGCCAATTGTCAGGGATTCTGGGAGCTGCTGTCCAATACACTTAGAGAACCAAAGTTTGAGAAACATTTGCACTGAAAGATAATCTCAATAGATAACCCAACACACTAGTCCTCATTTCTATTTTGTATTTTGTAAGACTTGACAAGAAAACTTTACTGGATAAGTCAGGGTGATTTTTTATTTTTCTAAATCACATCTTTGTGATCCAGGTTAATTGATCCAAGGAAATACCCACGCTTACCCCAGTTCAGTTTTCACAGTTAGTAATGCAGATTGAAAATACTACCCAATGCAAAAGCAGGCACTTGAAAAAGAGATGTTCTCAGATGAGACTGAACATTAAATAGTGGAACAGTCTGCTTTGTGGACTGTGACTGTTGATTTTAATTAGCAAGGGGGCAGTTGGGGAATTACAAGGAATGTTCGTCTTGCAATCTTCTTCCTACATATTCTCTAATGTATCATTTCTTGATACTTGGCCACAGGAATGGAGATGTTGCTGTCCTGTTAATACACTTCCACAATAAACACAAACAAACTCTTCCTCTGTAGGGTCTTAAATCCTGTCTGCAAAGGATTTTGCAAGCCTCATATTAGCATGCCTGATTTTGCAGAACAGCATTTTTGATCTGCATTGCCAGCTGTGGGATGGCGGTGTTCCTCTAGATTAATTAGCCTGGAATGTAAGGATGTGATCTGAAAAACAAAAATTTATCTTGAGTACACAACAAAGTTTTCTCTCCCCTCATAGTGACTAACACATCTGCTTCATCTCAGACACAGCCCTCTACCCAGAACTGGATAGCCAGCTTCACAGCTGTGGGATTCTTCTGATTTCTGAAGAGTGATGAATGAAGACTCAGAGCAGTTCCAGAAGCCACAGGATAAAAAACAGACCGGAGACTAGACTATGATTACATACAATTTGACATTACATCATGTACATTCTGCTTATGCCAGCTGACTTCTAAGTGGGGGGGGGAGTTGTAGCCCAGCCCTCTAGGATCAGTCTTACCCAATATCTTGTTTCCCATCATGACCAATCTATGGGATGCCCACAAGCAGAACATGAAAAGAATAGTTCTCATAGGCAACTCATGCTGCCTATGACCCAAGACACCATATAGACTGCAGTGATGGCGAACCTATGGATGCGTGCCACAGATGGCACGCAGAGCCCTCTCTGTGGTCATGCAAGCTGTAAGTTGCCATTGAGAAATACTTACCAGTCCTCCAATCCCGGATTTCAGCATGCCCCTCTGCTGGTGCAGTGGTCCAGCAGAGAGATGCAATTGCCGTCATTACCAGTCTAGGCCAACGGGATTGGAGGACCAGTAAGTACGGTACTTCTCAGTTAATACAATCCCTAGGGAAAAAGAAGAGGCATTTAACCCTTAAAGTACAGGGGCAGTTTTTTTTCTAAATTAAAACCTCAGTATTCCGCTTTAATTGCAGTGTTGGCACTTTGAAATAAATAAGTTGGTTTTGTGTTGCAGTTTGGGCACTCAGGCTCAAAAAGTTTCCCCATCATTGGTATGGAGTGTAGCCCATAAGTATTCACAGGTAATCATATTTTCCCTCCATCTCTAAATAACATACCCAGTATCATTTCTATCAATTTGCTTCTGTACAGGCAGGCATATGCTTTATACCTCTGTCAATCGCTCGGGAAGGGAGACAGAAGATACTACTGAACTCATGTCCTGCTTGTAGTCCTCTTTTAGGTAACTGGTTGGCCAATGTGCAAACGGAAGCCTGGACTAGATAGGCTGTTGGTCTGATACCACAGGGCTCTTCTTAGATTCTTCTTTACATTAACTTTCCCTGCTTTGTGCATGGTGTTATTATTGTATAATGTTTATTTAAGTATGGTTTACCACCCTTTGGATGTTTCCTGAATGACAACGCATACATAACCAAGAAAGAAAAGAAAAGAAAAGAAAAGAAAAGAAAAGAAAAGAAAAGAAAAGAAAAGAAAAGAAAGAAAGAAAGAAAGAAAGAAAGAAAGAAAGAAAGAAAGAAAGAAAGAAAGAAAGAAAGAAAGAAAGAAAGAAAGAAAGAAAGAAAGAAAGAAAGAAAGAAAGAAAGTGCTCCTGTGCTATTCATTTGCTTGTTTTCTAAACTAGCAAGCCTAAAATATACTATTTCCATGTACAGGAGTTGTTTCACTCTTTGATAATTTTGGATGCCTTTTCAATTTCTAAGATAGCTTTCATGAGTTGCAGCGTTATGACAACTTTGCATTTCAGATCTTGGCAGAGGCATAGTGCTACATACTTTTCTGCATGTGACATTTCAATTCATCTATTGCATTGAATGGTCATTGACAGGCCCATTCTGCTCCACAGTTTAAACTTGTTGTTTAAAAATTATCTAAACTTGTGACCATCACTGCGTCCTATCATAGCAAATTCCACAAATCAAATTTCTGATGTGTGAAGAAGCATTTTCTTTTGTGTGCAAAACTACTTAGCTTGCTAATTTTTGTATTCCAGACACCATGACATTCCTCCTCATCTAATCTTGTGCTAAACACTGCCAAGGAAAGAAGAAACAGCAGTCAATGCTTCATGAGTATGTATATGGGACTGCTTAGGAAAGTATGTGGAGGAGTGTAAACTGCTCACACATATTATGGGTTTCCTCTCTTTCCTCTTTTTTAACTACAACTAGCAGTTATGGTAGATGGCAAGCAAAGACAAGTCCAGAAATGCAAATGTTAGCATTTCTTACAGACTTTTTTATTTTACTTCCCAGCAGACATTCCTACTGTCCTGTTCCAGTTAATTTCATGTGCTTGTATCCTTTATTTGATTATCTGTTTATTTTAAATAGTCCCCTGCCCCCAATTTCCTAGCTTCCTTGAGAACATAATGTTTATTTTGAAGCTTGACGGTAAAAATAAAGTGTACAGATTTTTTCTCATCAGGGGAATCATTGAGCAGAAGGGGATAAGTCATGCAAGTCTGTTCTTCCATCTGTAAAATGGAACAGTCATAGTAGTAAAGCAGGGAGAACAGAAACGTCCCAAGGAGGAAAAAAGTGTGATGCAATTTCTGGGGGGAAAACAAATCTCTAGGCCCAGAGAGGAAAGTGGGCATTCAGATCCTCAAACCCAGGGAGGCAGACTTACTCTGCAATCTCCTGCAGGATTTTTTTTTAAGTTTAAAAAAGGAGGGAAACAAAAATTAAAAAAAAGGCTTGAAGTGGGAAAGAGGCGGAGTTTCCACCTCCTGTTCCCAGTGGCGGCATCTCAAAAGACTGCCCTGAAGGCAGCTTCAGCCTTGACTCACCTGCAGCTGGGAGTTAAAATCGGTCAGGTTGGTGTTGTAATTCCAGCTGGCAGAGACGCTCTCGAAGAAGACCGTTTCGGCGGTGCTGTTGTAGTCCTGAGCGAAAAGGAGGGCTCCTTCCTCCGTGGCGGGATGATTGGGGGGGTTGAGGGGGTCATCCAGGGCGAGCGTCGCTCGGAGGCAGAGCAGCAGCAGCAGCAGGACGCCCGGAGCCGGAGGCATCATCCTCACCAGGAGCGGCGGTGGCGAGAACGGAGCCTGGGAGCGCCAGCTTATAAAAGCCCGCGCTCGCTCGCTCGCTCTCCCTCCTCAGACCCTGCCCCCGGACTCCTACCTCTTCCCTTCTGGGAAGAGATAAGAGGGCAGCCTGCCTGACTTGGCACGGCGCGCCTTGCCTGCCCGCCCGCCCGCCCGCCTGCCTGCTAACCTTGCGGCGGCAGCAGCAGCCTCCGCGGCCGCCACAGCCTGCACCGCGACGGTGGCGACAGCAACTCGCTCGCTGGAAGGACGGCCCCCTTCGCCTTGCCAAAGTCCACTCAGTGTCTCGCCCTCACGGGAGCGGGCGGAGACCGAGAGAGTCACCGTGGAAAAATAGCAGCAAAGAGGAAAATAATACGGCTCTCTCGCTGAAGGAATGGCAGAACAGAAAAGAAGGGCTGGAGACATAACGACCGAGGGCGGGAAAACGAGGGCAGAGGAGGACGTCAAGGGCGAAAAGACCTCGCCGGAGGCCGCCCTGAAGGAATGAAGCTGATCTTTCCCTGGGAGAAAGAGAGAGTCACCGTGGAAAAATAGCAGCAAAGAGGAAAATAATACGGCTCTCTCGCTGAAGGAATGGCAGAACAGAAAAGAAGGGCTGGAGACATAACGACCGAGGGCGGGAAAACGAGGGCAGAGGAGGACGTCAAGGGCGAAAAGACCTCGCCGGAGGCCGCCCTGAAGGAATGAAGCTGATCTTTCCCTGGGAGAAAAATGTTGGGCTAATCGCCCTCCTCGCGCTTGTCCACTGAGCCCCCGAATTCTATTTCCGAGTCCATCTCTTCCGAAGCAGTTTTCAAATAGGTCGACCTGTTAGTCTGCTTCAGCATTCTCTCTTTCTTTGAAAAAAGAGATTTTTTTTTTTGGCTAGGCATGCTGTTTCAACATGTATAGTTCCAAAAACTCTAACCTCAGCACACTTCCTGATAACCATCTGATTGCTTATGTAATCAGCTCTTTGATCCTTATGGCTGGTAACAATGTCACTGTCATTTCTAAAGTCCATTGCGAATGTCATTGTCAGCCTCTATTCTCCCCTTCCCCCATCTCGCCTGGACTATATACCCCTCTAACATATACCCTATGTATATAAACGGGGGGGGGGGGCTAACGATTATGTTCCGTGTGTCTGAGGAAGTGGGCTGTAAGCTTACTCTGAAATAAATTTGTTAGTCTTCAAGATGATGCCAACATTTTGCTTTTATTTTTGTTATATGGCTCTTCTAAAAAAAAGTGCTCTTTCATTTTGACAAAATCAAGGGTCCGTCCAACTAGTGTTTGGGGAAAAAAACCCCACTGTGGATGGTACAGAAAGGGTGATGAGGAGGAAATAAAGTTTTTAAAAAGCCCTTTATTTCAAATAGCTAAAAGCGTTTACTCCCAGTAGTTCCATTGGGATGAACTTCAGAACAGATGTCCAGGACCACACTAAAAAGAATGAGCAGCAAAGCAACTAATAATACATATGCTGTCCAAAAGAGTGGGGCATCTTATAAGACCATACCCTTCCTTTAGAGCAGGGATGGGCAGGCCTCTTCTGGCTTCCTCTTTTATTCCAGGAAAGAAAAAGGACAGTTCCCAGAAGTCTTCTGAGGTCGTGATTCATCTTTTAAAGAAGTCACAGGGTTCAACATCCTCAAACATGTATTTTCCAAAACTGGAGATGTACTTCTAGTCACTTCCAGTTTCATATTTGGTGTTCTGGACATTGCTGGTGATCTATAAAACTCTCAAAGGACTCCAGGAGCAGAAAATTGTTTCCTTGACTCACCAAAGTTGCCCACTCCAGCTTTAGATGTAATGTATATAAGTAACCAGGAATTGTTACTACTCCTTCTAAGTTCCAGAAAAGATGCCTTGAGCTTGGTGAAGTGGAGAAAAAAGATGTATGGAAAAATGCGTGGCAATTGTGTGCAGCCAGGGTACTTCAGTTAGAGTTGCTATGTCTCTGTAACGTTTCTCTGTTTCATTTCTGTTTTGTACATTCTCCTTTTGAGCTATTTCTTTTCTCCTTCCAGTTCTCATCAGATCTCAGTGAGGTCACTGCCCCATCCTATGTTGCCACCAGCACATAAAGGAGGCAAGCCAGCCCCAGAGATGAACTCACAGGCTTTGACAAAGTTTTACACTAGGACATGTACTTTGTTGTCTCCTGCTGAGTCCCACTGCAAACCATTAACAAATCTGCCAGTACTTGCCTCTGCATTAACTACACTGCATGAGATGCTTCAGGCTCTTCTTCCAAATGTCTACTCTAGAACACCCCTCTATTAAGTGTTATCAAGCAACTGCACATCTGAGGATGTTACTATACACAGGTTTTTCTTGGGTTCATGCAAACTTTCCTAGACCATACTTGGTATTTAAACCACTGCTGCCATTCACATCAAAATGTTTTAATTAGCCTATGAAGGTGTGTTTCAAGGGTCCACACATAACACAACCCCCTTCTTCACCCTTCTCTGTCATTATCATAACTTTTTTGCCTTAAAAAAATAAAAACTTTAAGAAGTGTAATAGTACTGAACTGACAAGGCATGGTAAACATTTGAAATGGTGCTGTATCAGCTTACTCCTAAACTTTGAATAAAATATTTTAAAGAACAATTTACAATTGCATCATAACTGTACTCTTTATTTGTGTAAGCAGAAGACTTACAAAAGGAGCAGCATTCATCCTCCCCCCAACATAACACAATATGTACATCATCACTGATGTCTTCTGGACATATCCAACAATGGACCTAAAGAATCAATATAGGAAATCACATAAGCCAAAAGCAAGATAAAATAACGTGTGATTAGCACTGTCGGCCAAATAAAATAGGAAATAGGAAATTGCACAAGCCAAAAGCAAGACAAAAATAGTGTGTGTTTTAACAAACTTTGGCAGCCAAAGTTTGTTAAAACACAACATTGGATCTTTAAGGATTCCAGAATGTACTGAATCCAGTTATTTGTTTTCTTTTGTTCCAGTTTTTCTCATCAAAATTCTATTCATCACAATAATCCAAGTTTATGGAAACCCCCAATGCTGAAGAGGCTGAAATTGACCAGTTCTATGAAGTCTTACAACACCTTCGAGAACTGACACCAAAGAAAGATGTTCTTCTCACTATATGGGATTGGAATGCTAAAGTAAGGAGTCAGGAGATAAAAGGAACAACAGGGAAGTTTGGCCTTGGAATTCAAAATGAAGCAGGGCAAAGGCTAATAGAATTTTGTCAAGAGAACAAGCTGGTCATCACAAACACTCTTTTCCAACAACACAAAAGGCGACTCTACACATGGACATCACCAGATGGGCAATACAGAAATCAGATTGATTCTGTTCTCTGCAGCCAAAGATGGAGAAGCTGTATACAGTTGGCAAAAACAAGACCTGGAGCTGATCGTGGCTCTAATCATCAGCTTCTTATAGCAAAATTCAAGCTTAAACTGAAGAAAGTAGGAAAAACCACTGGGCTAGTCAGGTATAATCTAAACCAAACTCCTTATGAATACACAATGGAAGTGAAGAACAGATTTAAAGAACTAGACTTGGTGGACAGAGTGCCTGAAGAA